TGTCTAGCAGCTACTGGATTGATTTCTCATGTTCCTTTACAATTTTAAAGCAATTTTTCTTTTCCTGGTCACTAATTGCAATCTTTTCTTCTATATCTGAAGTTCTATCCTCACATTGTTTCATTCTGCTGCACAGACTTTCCATGGAGTTTTTCATCTCCTGGAAATCTGTTTGCATCTGTTTTACAGATTCCCATTTGTTTCCTATGTTGGAATTCCATCATGTTCCTCAGATCCTTTATTTTTTTATCTGTGTCCTCTCTAGATTTATTAATCATGTCTTACACCTTGAGCACAATCTTTGCTGCTATCTGAGTAATTATTTCTGATTTTGTTTTTTCCAGATCCTCTTTTGTTGCCAGTTGAGAGAGTCCAGGTGGTTGAGTATCAGCTTGTTCCATCTCATTTCCCTTTGGGGTTGCTGTAGGTGATCCAGAAATCTGTTTTTGAGGCTTGTTTATGTGTCTTCTCATTTCCCTGGCGGGGGGGGGGTGCTTCTGGTGCCCACGCGGCTCAACTTCTATGCCCTAGGAGCTTGGGATGGCAGCAGGGGAGCTTCCTTCCGGGTGCTGGGACCAGCTGAGCTTCACTGCCCTAGGAGCCTGTGATGGAGGCAGGGAGCTTCCTTCCGGGTGCTGGGACTGGCTGAGCTTCACTGCCCTAGGAGCCTGGGTTGGAGGCGGGGAGTTTCCTTCAGGGTGCTGGGACCCGCTCACCTTCTTGGCCCTAGGAGCCTGGGATGGCAGTGGGGGAGCTTCCTTCTGGGTGCTGGGACCAGCTCACCTTCTTGGCCCTAGGAGCCTGGGATGGCAGCGGGGGAGCTTCCTTCCAGGTGCTGGGACCGGCTGAGCTTCACTGCCCTAGGAGCCTGGGATGGAGGCAGGGAGCTTCCTTCTGGGTGCTGGGACCAGCTGAGCTTCACTGCCCTAGGAGCCTGGGATGGAGGCAGGGAGCTTCCTTCTGGGTCAAGACCAACCAAATTTAATTTGATTATATTACCTGTGAGCCTTGGATACTTTTGCTTTCTACTTTTAAACATTTCCAAATTGCTTCTACTAAGAAAATGAATATAGCTTAACTTTAAAATCAGTAAAAATAACAAAAATATTTCCATCTTGAAAATTTAAAAACAGACATGTTTCAAATGAACTGTATTAGTCAACTAAAAATATTAAATACTGGAAAATGTATTATTGGGTAATGAAACCATATTCCACAAAGTAATTATATTAACAAATAATTCCTCTCCAATAATAACCATTTGTCTAAAAAAGAACTGTTCTTGAGGCACTGTTTTCTACAAAAATCTTAACTTGAATAACTGTTGTATGACCAAAAAGAAGAATAAATCAAAGACAATCATATTGAGATAATTCTAAAAGTTAATACTGGAATTATTACTTTAACACAAATTTAGCCTTTCAGTACAGCATGTCCTTTAGTTCATTCAGCACCACACAAAAATAAAAGTGTTGATTTGCCCTGGTGGTTCTAGTCTTTCACCTGCTGGACCTTGATCTCTGAATCAATGTGTGTGTCTGAACTTTAGTCTTCAATTAATCTGTTGTGACACTGATTTTAACAAAAATGGGGGAAAATGGAGAGGTATGTGTTGTACTTCTAATTATCTATAAACAAATAATGATAAAATTATAGCATCTTAGGAAGAAGATTCCTGCTCAATGACAGACACCACTGGAATCAACAGTTCTCAAACTAATGTGAGAATAAAAGTCCTCTGTGCTTTTTACGAAAACTCACTAGCATGATATAAAAAAAATAAGTCTTCTGCGTAGTAGCAGCCTTCCAAATATCTAGTTTCCAGGTCTACCTCCCCACCTCTTCTCTTATCCTTTCACTTTCCTCTAAGCTAAATACCTGCAGTTCAGCCAACACTCTTTCTATGATACCATTTCAAGTGCTCTTCAAGAATTTGGTTGTTTTCTTCTTGACCTGCTTCAATTCTTCAGTGTTCCCTTTACAGTGTGGTACCTAAAACTGCATATAATTTTCTCCTTGTGCTTTAAATAATGAAAGGAGGTCTATCATCTTGGTTTTTGTGGATATTATATGATATCTAAAAACTTGCTCACTGAAGAGATGTCAAATGTCTCCAATAATCATGAAAAAATGGATAGATCAGATGTTTACAGACTTACATCTGATGAATTCTAGAGAACAAACACAGATTCTGTTTAATGTTTGGTCTTTTTTGTGATAAAACAACAATAATAGCTACAGATTATCAAGGACTTCCTTTGTGTCAGGCACATACTTTCTGAGTATGTGTTTTCTCATGATTCTGATAACTAATAATCCAACAAAGTAAGTCTCTTTATACCTACTTTATAACAGAAGTGAGACACAGATGGATCAAATCATTTAATGTGGATCTATTTAATGTACCTGCCAAAATTAGGGTATAAAGAGTGGACCTTCATTTCATTTGCTTTACTGAGGCACAGTAGATGGTAGAGAGCACAAATTTTGGAATTATAAACTTGTGTTCATCCTAACTCTGCCATTAATTATTTGACCTTCTACAATTAAATTCTCTAGTTCTCAGGAGATCTAATATATAGCATGGTGCCTATAATCACCACAAATGGACATCCCCTTTCATAAACCCACAGGAGGTTCTTCTCTCAAAACTGTCATGAAAAAGCTGAATCCTGAGGTCTCTGTTATCTTACAGGTACTGTGAATCATTCTACTCATGGTATTGCTATTTGGTCTGGCTGACAGGAAGAATCTATCAGTTACCATAGAAAGAACCTATTTGTCATCACAATGACAAATCTGTGATATATCTTACAATCATGAAAAACTTTTTGGCATGTATTTGTCTGTATTAATTTCACCTTTATCTTTACATTGTTATTTACCTTATTTTGCCATTATTATGATTTTTACCTTAAAATCTCATATGTATTTTAAAAGTTATTGAGAGTTTTTTGTAATATTGCAGGAGAAAAATAAAATTTATAGCAAATACAGTAATACTTCAGTTCACAAATGCTTCTGTTTGCAAACAAAAGTGTCTAGCAAAATTTTATTTCCCTTCACAAACAGAACCACAGCCATCTTCCCTATACAAATACAAACAGCCATCTTCCCCCAAATCATAAAACAAGTTAAGTTCATAAAATGAGATATCACTGTTTTCAGTGAAATCCAATCTGTTTTGATTCAAACTGGTGAAAACTATAAATCTACTTAAAATACTAACCAGCAGCAACCAGCTGTCAAGATCCTCCTTTCCATGCACAAACCATACACTCCATTCAATCACAATCACCTATCATTCAAGGTTCATGCAATATAAGCAACCTCCCTTAAATTTTAACCCATTCACTTTCCATTCCAACCTTAACCTCTATTTCTCTTCCTTCACAGTTTATAATGTGAAAATAAAATTTGTTTCAATTACATTTACTTAAAAAATATATTTACTGAAAAATTTTTTAATGCTCTCTATACTTAAAATAAAAAACTTTCAAGGGCTGGGGAATTAGCTCAGTGGTTCCGCTGCCTGCCTCACAAGAGCAAGGTCCTGAGTTCGATCTCCAGTACCAAAAAAAAACCTTTCAAATGTTCTTGGAAAATAAATATTCACTTTTGGCATTGTTACTATGATTTTTCCCAGGAAATACAAAAACAAAAATAATTCACATCAAATTGAGATACAATTTATGAGAAATCCAAATTGCAAATACCTTGAATCTCAAAAAAACACTTGATACTTACTATTTACAGAATCTTCTGATTTCTTTGAAGATGAATGTCCTGAAAAGGAAATAGCATTACTTTATTAAGTATTATCTTGAGGTGGTGTGACAGTTTGAGCTACAAGTATAATTCTTCCCAACAGTCTAGTTTATTTACAGATAAGCATCTCACTGTTTTCCAATCTTTTAAGTTCCTTAGTCATATTTCTCCAATTAAAATAGTAGTTCTTTTTAGGGAAGAATCATATCTCATGCTTTCCTATACCGTGGAATAGATAGCATAAAACTTAAAAAATGGGGCCTATAAAAAGAAAGCTCATATTGACAAGAAAAACCTCTCACAGATTACAATATAAGCAATAATCTTTTTGTTGCTTTTTGTTTTGTTTTTTGAGACAGGGTCTCACTCTGTAATTAAGGCTGGCCTTGAACTCACTATGTGGTCCAGGATGCTCTCAAACTCACAGTGATGCTCTTGCCCCAACCTTCCAAGTGTTGAGATTACAGGTGTGTGTCACCACACCCAGCTTTAAGCAATAATTTCTTCTACTTGTGGAGATGCTCAATATATGAAAGCAGTTTACTAATATTCATTTTCCACAATATTTTTTCCGAGGTCATGTATAGGTGACAATATGACCTTTTCCAGTTATCTACAGATGATAAAACGTATAATTATGTCATAAAACACAAATTTTCAATTCTACAATGGTTATTAAGGGAAATAGAGAAAAGCATCAAGACATATTAACGTAAAAATCTGAAAATCACCACTATACAGTCTCCTGCAATAAGATCTCAGGGGAATGCTTCTGAAGGTTCTGAAGGCTAATAAGCAAAAAAGGAAAGGTAACAAATGAAGAAAAACAATTATTTTAATATACTCAGATAGGAGGTCTCATAAGCCAAACTCAATCGCCCTTTAAAGGCCAAAATGAATACAAGAACTACAGGTTAAGCACACAAGAAATGTTTTTCCTTGGCATATTCTAATATGATGAACATTATCCCTGCTTCCAAATACTCAAAGGTCTATAGCTAAAAATAAGTAGATTAGGTTTACTCTGGAGGCTGAAGAACAAAATTAGAACCAAAGGGAGGAAGTTTTAAGTTTGGGCTAAATGTTAAAAGAAACCTACCAGTAAGAACAACTATGGATAGTAGTGGGCTCCTTTTCCCTGGTAGTACCAAAGCAAAAGCAAAACAACCACATGATAGATAGCAGTGCTTCTCACAAACTTTATTGTGTGTTTGAATCATCCTGGGAAACTGCCAGTATATCTGAAGGGGTCTAAGGTTGTATTTTTCTAACAAGTTCCCAACTGGTGACAATGCTCTGGCCAGAGGACTCTACTTTGAAAAGCAAAATTATAGAATCTCCTTTAAATCATGATTCTAGGACTCATCTCTAAAGTTCCTTTCAACTCTGAGTAACAGGTTGAACTCACTGATTCACTCACTCACCTAAATGTCTCCTTTGTGGAGGAAATGCTTTGTTAGGAATTGGAGATAATAAATTAAATCACAAAGTCCCTTTCCATACAGAAAATAAATTATTTCAAAGTTTTATGTATTTGTAATGGAGACGTGTGGGGTGCTATTAGAATGTGTAATAGGGATCTAATCTTGTTTAGGGGAGTAGGATGAAGGGTGACATGAAGGAAGGTTCTACTTGAGGAACTGAGATAAAATGTCCCCTGAAGAAAGAAGCAGGCTTTGGGAAAGGATAATAGTGAGAAGGGTAAGATTTTGAACTTTCTGCCAAGACAGACAGGTCCTCAAGGAAGCTATTGATTTGTCTTATTTTTTTCCTCTCTATTCATTTGGTCAGCCATCTAACAACCAGCTATCCTGTTCACTTATTTAACATTTTCAATAATGGCAACCTAAAAACCTAGAAGTAGATGGGATTACCTAGGGAGAAAAAAAGAGATATCTAGGTAAGAGCTCTGAGGAACTCTAACCACCTACATGTAAAGCTAAGGAGGGGCGGCTGGCAAAAGAAGCTGAGGAGAAGCCAAAAAGAGAAATAAAATCAAGACAATAAGATTAGTTGAGGAGGAGTATCAGTGCTCCAATACTGCAGTAATATTAAGCATTTATTCATTACTATATAATTTTGGGCCAGATTCAGGCAGTCTAACAGAAAGAATCACATTAAAGTCAGTTCCATTTGATCTCAGATAAGATGATGCTAAAAAGTTCTACACTGTTTTCCTAAGTTTACTAATTTTTCTTTTCTTTCTTCCCTTTTTTTTTTTTTTTTAACAATACTGAGATTAAACCCAGGGCTTGGCTAAGTAAGCACTCTACCACTGAACTATACGCCCAGACCTTTTTAAAATTTTATTTTGAGAGAAGGTCTCACTAAATTGTACAAGCTGGCCTCAAACTTGGACTCATGCCAGTAATCTCAGCTATTCAGGAGACTAAGGCAGAAGGATTCCAAGTTCAAGGACAGCCTGGGCAACTTAATGAGTCTGTCTCAAAGAAAAAATAAAAAACACTTGGGATATAGTTCAGTGATAAAGTACCCGTGGGTTCGATCCCAAGTACCACAAAAGAGAAAAATAAATAAAGGAAGATTACATGTACATATATAATCTTTAAAGTCAAACTCAATGATGCTGAGTATCTAGCCTGATGCTGAGTATCTAGCCACCTAATCTTCTATTTTGAAGGTACTAAATATTCCTTTACAAAGTAGAGATTTACTCTTCTTTAATTTGGAATATGTAGTGGTATGGTATCATAGTAATTGGTATAAATGGTATCATGTTTATGCTAACATCAATAATATCACATAACTATAGTAAAATAGGTGTGATACAAATGCAACCATATTATATAATGCAAGAAAATTCTCAAATTGTACAGTAAATATTTTATTAGCATATCAGAATAAAAAATTCTAAAACTCAAATGAGATGTTCACATTTATCAGTTAAAATTTACTTTAGAGTTGGAACATGATTATGACAGAGACAAAAAGGCACTCTTCCTCAAATGCCAACTCTCAATAAACACCAGAATAACAATATATTCTTCTCATCATCTATCAATTTTATAAGTCTAAAACCTTGGTAATACCATATATTTCAATTTATTTTAACTTTATCTACATAATAACATGTTAATATGGAAGAAGAAAAAAATTCATGTGAACACAACACAGCTAATGATTTTCATAGCTGGAGCAAGGGAGCCCTCTCCTGTCCAAATAGTGTATTAATATTGGGTTGAATCTAATTCAATCTAGCATTACCTACCTAGTTTTAAGTCTGATTGACTGTAAGTTACAGCCAATTTGACTCTACTACATGGGATTAAAAAAGCAACTGGAAGTAACAGGCATAATAGCTAATTATATGAAATGTACTATGCAAACTGCTTAATGAGTATCTCATTTCAATCTCTGAATAATCCTGAGACAGTTACTAATATCATGACCATTTTACACATGAAGAAAATGAGGCTCAGAAAAGAAAATGACAGAGTAAAGGCCAGTAGCATATCACAATCTCTGCAGGACCTGAAGTCTAGATATCTAAAAAACAATAACTAGTGAAAAGAAAGGGAAACAAGAAAAAGGCAACTGAAAAACTAGAAACCACAGAGAAACTGGAGAAAATGAAGATAATGCACAGAAAAGAATGAAGCAGTCTGAAATGCTTATTCTGGTCTATTTCTAGGGAAAAGACCTGGCTTAGCAAACACAAGGGAAGCCCAGATAACCCCACGATAAAAAAACAGACCAGCAGCTTCAGCCCTTCAAAAAGCTCACAGTTACTGTAAACTACAAATACAGTGTGGGATTTTACTCTGAAAGTACCTCCTTCTGCAAGGCAAGGTAGAGTTGCAGAAGAAATCCACTGAAGCACCTGCCATACTTGGGAGTGATTAATCAGGAGCCATTTGGGGAAGGGGTTGTTTAAGACTCAGTTACTTAAATGGTCAAAACTGAAATCCTTCATGCTAAAATCAGGAACAAGGCAAGGATGTCCACTCTCACCACTCTTGTTCAATATAGTTCTGGAAACGTTAGCCACAGCAATTACACAAGAGAAAGAAATAAAAGGAATAAAGATAGGAAACAAAGAAGTTAAACTGCCATTATTTGCAGATGACATGATACTCTATATAGAAGACCCAAAGAAATCTACCAAAAGTCTTCTAGACTTAATAAACAAATTCAGTAGATTAGCTTGATACAAGGTCAACACACAAAAATCAATAACCAGGGGGTGAAAGGTGCACTGGTAATGGGGGAAAAATAAGAACTAAAATATATCATGTACAGGTACAAGCACCCAATGATAAATGTAAATGTATACCTAAAATGTACCAATAAAAGAATTTTAAAAAATCAATAACCTTCCTGTACACGAACAACAGACTCACTGAGAGAGGAACTGGAGAATCCTTTCACAATGGCATCCAAAAAAAAGAAATACCCAGGAATCAACCTGACAAAAGAAATCGAAGACCTCTACTCTGAAAACTATAGTACTCTGAAAAAAGAGATTAAAGAGGATATCAGAAAATGGAAAGATATCCCTTTTGTTCCTGGGTAGGAAGAACCAATATAGTGAAAATGGCCATACTTCTAAAACTGCTATATTGATTCAATGCAATCCCAACTTAAATTAAAACAGCATACTTCACAGAACTTGAGAAAACAATCCAAAAATCTATTTGGAACAAGAAGAGACCTAGAATAGCAAAGGCAATTCTAGTCAACAAAGACAAGGTAGGGGGTATCACAAGCCCAAACTTGAAACTATGCTACAAAGCTATTGTGATAAAAACAGCATGGTACTGGCAAAGAAACAGACCTGAGGGCCAGTGGAACAGATTAGAAGATGCAGAAACAATGCCAGACA